TTTAATGCTCACAGTGCACTGCGGTTTGGTGCGTGCAGACGTAAGGAAGTATCCTCACCGAACCTCAAGTATAAATCACCACAGAGTAAAAGTACTCGAGTACTTCTCCTCATTAACGTTATTTACCTGGATGACGTGCTCAGACATTCAGACTCTAATAGGCGGCTAATTAACAGCTGACTAACCATAATCAGCTGACGGTGATCGATCGGCAGCCCGATACCCAACCAAACGGTCACGTGAGTTTTCCTACCTGAAGCTGTCACTGTCCGGAGCTTCACGCGCTTTTCATGTCGCTGCAAACCTGAGCACAACTTCGCAGGAGCGCACACACAGCAGACAGGTCAAGCTGCAGCGCACAGCAACAACAGCACTTCCGGCATCCTGCGCCTGCGTGCGGTGCTGCTCCGTCCAGGTGTGTAGACAGCCTGCACGCGAACAGCCAGCTGACGCACCTGAGCTTTCTGCTTCACTTTGATGAAATCAAATCGGTCTTAATCCTGAAATTCGCGCCAGTTTAGCTCATTTATTATTCACGTGAGCTTTCTCGTGCACAGCTCGTGCAGGAGTGCCTGCAGCTCCTCAGCTTCACCCTCAGGTGCTGCACTCGCAGCTCCTCCCCCCTCCTCACACCTGAGGCTTTCTTGGGTTTGTGAAGCACTTGTTTCAGGTTTCCAGTCTTCCAGACGCGTTGTCCTCAAAGCTGAGAGGATGTTGCATCAGCTACACCTGCTCCTCCACCATCACAGGTCTCCTTCCTTTCAGCATCACCTGTTTATTCACTGTCATCAGCTGATCCTGTGTGAACGTGCTCTTTAACCGCCACCTCCTTTCTTGTTTTTGATCTTTCATCTGAGAGAAACCCTGAAATACAGTTTTTATGCTTTTCTTTTCTCTCATATTAATAAAACGCGTGATTTTTGTCTGAGAGCAGAAACTTTAAAATTACAAATGTTTTCCCACCAGGAACAAACTCAACCACCACGGAGATTTCTTAATAAAAGGATGGAGCTGTGACCAGATTTCCTTGAGGGCCAAGGTTTTATTTTGAAGGTCACGGCGGAAGTCTCGTGCTGAGTGTGACTGTGTTGGCTCCTGTGTCATCGGGCTGAGCTGCCATCCGAGAGCAGCTGCTGTGTCCGGGCTCCGGCAGGTGCGAGGACCCTCTTCTGGACTGAAGCGGACCTGAGCACAATCCGGGACCCGAGCCGAGCCGAGCCGAGCCGTCGCGGCTGGAGGCAGCTGCCCGCCCGCCTGCATGGAGCCTCTGGCCGCCCGGAGGCGCAGGATCCTCCCGCTGCTGGTCCTCTGGAGCTGCCTGAGTGCGGCCGTGCACGGGGAGAAGGTGAGTGACCTTCACCTAGGTGACCAGGCTCACCTGCAGCTCAGTACTCTGCCGACAGACGTCACGCGATCAGAGACAGGTGTGGGTGACGTCAGAGTTTTTCCAAAATATTTAGTAACAAAAAACCGTACTACTATTATGATGATGATGGTTATTATTGTTATTAATATTATTATTGGTGTTGATATTACATATTTGTTATATAACCAGGTGGATTTATTTATTTATTTAAAAATCAAATCACGTGAGCAACCCTGAAGGCCGCCTTTAGTTCACACACACTGAGTATTTAACCTGAGCGTCAGTCTGCGCTCACACACTGCACAGGTGTATCACACCTGCACAGATACCTGCTAATCACAGCTCAGTAACATCCAAATAAAATCAAACTTCACCAAAGTTTTCGCTCAGCCTTCCTGGACGGGCTGCTACTATAGTAACCTCACAGCAGCCGCTTATTGGTCATTAAAATGGTCCAGAGCAGCTACAGACACCTGTGTCACCATCCACCTGTCAGTCAAAGAGGCCACGCCCCTAATAATGCAAACTTTAAGCTTTAATACAATCTAAGGTGAGTCATGGAACAGTATGTGGTTTACAGACTTATTAGTGACGTTAATGATCAATCAGTTTACTGATGATGATCAATGAGAGTTATTAAAATGACAAGACTCCTGTCAGCAGACACCTGCTCAGGTACTAACAGTAACCCTGCAGAAGTTTCCTTTTTCTGTTTACTGCGGATATCAAAGAATCTCCAAAGAATGTCAGACAGGAAATAAAAGCCGTCTGTCTGTGTGCAGGCAGACAGACAGAC